TTCGTAATATGAAATAAACATTGTATGTATATTTAAATATTAAAAAGAGATTGAATCACTTGTTAATATTGGATGAATATGTAATGAATATTTTGTACTACTAGGGTCTTGACTGTAGGACGAATGATCGACACCAAGCTGTACACAATTACGTGAACACTGTATCACACATATAAGTATCTTTCCATACTTTATTTCTGTGTATGTACGTATCTGCATATTCATATCGCGATACTGTTGGTTGTGATTAAAGATTCATTCGTTTTTCTTTCGAATGTTCAGCAAACTCGGTTAGCAATGATCGCACGGTGAGTAACGTCGACTGCGGAATGAACGGTGAATTCGTAGAATAACGAGCAAATAGAAGTGCAAGATCCTCCACGCCGTATACCGGGGAACAAACATTGATCCACGAACCTCTCCGTTACGATTCAATATTTGCATTTCCACGAGGGGAGAGAACATACTATACCATATATCGTCTCGCGTCAATCAAGGAGAAGAGAAGCGTGTCGAAACGTTGATTTCGCGATCTCGAAGGCGTCGAGAACAATAATCTCTGGTAATACACCTTTCAGATGCAACGATACCAAAAACAATTTCCAACGGTATACAAGTTGTCCAACGTAACCCTTACCCCGATTTTTCAAGCTCTTCCGGTGATCTGAACAAGTGTCTGACACCAAAATTTTGTGCAAACACTTGTTGAGTGTTTTGAACAAAAGTTTATCAGTTTTTCATCAGCTATATGTAACAATAAAAATTTCAGAAAATTTCTTTTGGATGAAAAGTCAAGGTGTCCTTCATTTTTAGCTCATCGTCGAGACGAGTTCAACCACCTAGTACGCTGTGACCTTGAAATGACCTTGAATTCAGAAATGTGGAAGCAATGAATGGAAATGTTTTCGTAACAAACTGTTATGAGGTACAAAAAAATTGATTAATTTTTTACACTAATATCACAGACACCTATGTTCATAGAACATGTATAACTAGGTATGTAATTTTAATTAATTATACCTTCAAAACTATCAAGTAACTACGGGTAATATTTCACACATATCATTCAAAATATGTATTCTATTATCCTCCACAAAATCGAGAAAATCGAAGTGGTATTATTGGGGACTTTCCCTTGTCAGTGCAGAGGAGCTTTCGAACACTCATCGAAGATTCACTGTATATATTACCTCTGGGATTCCTGGAAGTCAGCATCGAAATACAAGAAAGCAATGGCCTTAAAATGACGACTGTTTAGCACGTGTGATGTGCAGCTGTCCAGGAATGGCCGTGTCGACGGCCCAAGACTAAGTTGAGTCGCAACAATCTGTCTGGAAACTTCTGCACGCCACTGTAACCGTGTGTTGTGTGCTACAGTCGAAGTAAAAGTAGTGAAAGTTGTCGGCAGTGAAAAAAGTGTAGTATAACTCGTCATTTAGAAGAATGTTTCGAGGTCTACCATACTCAACGATCATACCAAGGATATTTAAATATAATTCTTCAGTCGGTTCTGAACACAAGAGAACACGCGTGTGGACGAACAGCCCTTTCTCTTTCGTTCGAGTCCACTTTTACCGTCGTTCGACTTCTTTTTTTTACGGAAATAACTTTCTACTTTCGGCGATACACATCGTTTTCATGGAAACGGTTCCGAGCGTCCCAAGCCGGCTGACCCAGATCTATGGATCGTACCCACGGATTCGGTGGATCCCCTGCGAATTCGTCTTTCGAAACACCAACGAAAACCTTGACCTCGCTATTAGAAAAGAACGACCGAGAAAAAACGTCCTCGATCGACGGGAGGACGGACATGGAATAGTCACGAAGTGGATGGAAGGGGGAGGGGGTAGAGAAAGAGAAAAAAATACTTCCATCATTCGGTATTTTTTATAGGAATTCAATCTTGTCGGAATGCGCTTAATTGATTTCGGATCGGGAATATCGACGGCGACGGGATTAAATATAAACGAGGCGGAAATAAAACGCCGTAGGAAAAAGAATTTGCATTACGCTTGAAACGACGTGATTCATCCCCCACCCCCTACCAATGGGTATTGTGGTTCTCTATGAACCGTCTGGTAAATTGGCCCGGACGGAATACAGAGCCGTTAATTATGCCATCCCCCCTAGCGAATAATTAGCAACTTGTTGATTGTCGTTAATTCTCGATAAAGGTGGCGAAATATATGCGATAATACGGAATACGCCCAGAACGATCGTGAGCTTCGGTCGTTAAACCGGTTAATTCTAATCGAGGGTTTCTATAAGGATTATGAATTGTTGCTTATGTTGATTATTTGCAACTAGAATAATTCTTGGAATAATCATGGGTGATATGGTATTGATATTTCGAATATCGATACTTTTCCATATATATATACCGATATTTCGTATCGGCATTTAATGCGACGATATATTCCAGTATCGATACTTAACCATAGTAGTGTGATGGGTGATGCAGTATTGATATTTCGAATATCGATACGTTTCGATACAAATATCGATCCTGTTCTTTATCATCAAATATTAAAAATAGTTTTCTTTCAAAGAAATATACAATTTACAATAATTATAAAAACTCCTGAAATGACTCCGATGAATCTTCTTCAAGACGAAACATTTGGTTTCACACAACATTCTGGTCTCAAAATGTCTATCGTACCTTGAATATCCACCGTGTTCGTCTGATTCAGCTACATCAAACTAATGCCTGTCACCCAAATTGGAAACTAAGACAAAAAAACGACAATCCTTTTAACATTCACAGAACTTCAACGACTACTTTCTCCGCCATCTTGAAAAAAAATCACCAGCGCCGCTTCCAATGTTTGTACAATTACCATGAACGAAATATCACTTCGAAAGGAAACTACTTTCAATAATTGCTTACAAAAATTGTGAATATCTTACAAAAAGTTGCTGTTTTAACGTGAATTCGGAAATTTTTTGGACAAACCGTGTCTGTGTCGTGAAGGTTAATTGGTAGAACACGGACGTGCCGATCGATGTACAAGCCGTTCCACGTCAAAACACACGGGGAATTACGGCCGTAGTCACCAATTATTTTCAAATTTACAGCATTCATTGGGATTGGAAGTTAAAATTTTATCGAATTAATTTTGTTCGTGGTTATTAACTACTGCTGCAAATTTAAAAAAAAATCGATGATTACGACAACGAATGGAACGTCTCGTACGCGTCTCACGACTCATTTAACACACCGTGATTGACGGGTATTCGTATAAATCTAATGTCGCACGCAAACCACGTGTCGTACAACGAAGAATGCACGATGCAATAGTTACGCAAGAACGTCGCGGTCGAGTTCGTAGAAAGCGAAACGCCGTCGTATATCATTTGACTACGAGCAAACCAACCGGCTGGTTTACCCTTTAAAAGTGAAAAAAAGAAAAAAAGAAATCGTAAAAAAAAAGTGTGTACAAGGGCTGTTTGATAAGACAGTGACATTTTTTAACATAATAGATGGTGCTCCAGTTGTAAGAATAATTTTGTCATTTCATTCGAATTCATTCCAGTATTACACCAAATGTGTTTACTCTATTGTTGTCGAGTATACTCTTCATAGGTTAACAATAATTAAGCACACAAGTGCACGTTTTCAAAATGAAATAAAACACTTAAAGAGTTAAACAACAGCGGCGTGTGTAGCGAGATATATCCGCGATAATGTTCCCGCTACGAGGAAGTTGGGGAAGTTCAGACGTTATAAAACGATGCTGGTATAAAGTTTCTCGGCGGCGTTTACGCGAATAAAGCTGTCTATTGTAATACAGCGAAATTGAAGCCGGTCGACTCGCGGTGAATAAAACATAAAATATGAATCCGGCTTATTACTTTCCCGCTGCTTGCATCCACCATTATTGCTGTCCCCGCCCGCTTCTGACGTCACAGTCGCAGACGATTCGTTCCTCTCTCGACTTACTTGTTCCACCGACATTCTTTCCATTTTTATGCGGCCACTCAGGGCTTCGTAATTCCTCAAGTTCCGAAGTAGGGGTTGAGGGAATGAAATTCGATCGGTGTGGAAAACCGATTCATACTGGAAACGATCGAACCACAGACGAATTTGTAAAATCAATCTGATACGTGGATATAGGAAAACATAGTTTATTGTACAATATATTATTATTAATATCATTGATATTACAGCCCCATATGGCTATTCAATTAGGACTACTCGCAATTCTCAGCATCTTACATATTTCTAGTAAAATTGAAAGCTCTGAACGTAATTTAATAATAAAATTTATCAACTACTAAAATACACACATACTTCTTTAATTTGTTACTTTCTTTTTACACAGATACAGGAAAAGAAAGCTTTCTCAGCGGGCGATTGGGAATGGTTTTCGGTTAGAGTTTGAAAAGCTGGGATATTTAGAGTGCAACAGATGACAAAAATTGGATTGAAGTCTGTCCTAAAATATAATAATACAAAATAGAAAATAAACATGGTTACATTACATTTGTTCATTGATACTGTAAGATAATCGTCCATTCGGTCTTCAATCGCTCGTCACACACTGTATGACTCTCGCAATAAATACTCAACGGTAATAAATAACAAGATACAGTAAAGATTCCATGAGAGTTTGGAACTCTCTGAAAGCCTCGGCAACAAAACCGAGGGGGCAACAAAGTATGTGTTTGACAGGTATCACCCTCTGCCCCCAGTGGTCGGGATGAAGTAAAAACTCACACGAGGAACTTCCTATCCAACTCTCATGGAGCATTTACTGTATCATCCATAGTAACATACAAATTATGAATAGGTATGTATGTAACATTTTAATAATTAATACAATATATAATTAAATTCCATTCAGGCTTTTCAATTCTCCCAAAAACACGAAAGATATTGAAAATTATGAATGATCCAAATTCAATGTCCAAGGGCTGTATAACATCTGGACGTATAGAATACTGTTTACAATGATTAACAAATACTGAACAAGAGTAACACACTGGGCGTTGTCTCGTTCAAAACTTAGAATAATAACATTTTCGTGCTTTTTCTTTTCATCAATCAAACGCTCGTAACAAAATAACGTCGATGCCAGACGTCCCGCATCAGTCGACACACCCATGGATAAACAGATCCTTCTCTCTTTCCCCCATTTTTTCTTCTTATCCCACATAATATCCCGGCATCGTCGTTTTCACCCCTCCAGCTGCCCCCCCCTCTCAGCCCCATTATATCGCCACGTCTTACGAAACTCCGGCGTACTGCTGGACTATCTTCGACCATTCCTTCGGGTAGGTACGTTGGATGTGCGAGAGGACCTTCTTGATCTGTCGTGTCTCCTCGGGGCTACATTGCGGGCAGGAGCCTCTCAAAACCAGCGGTGCTAAACCTGGATAACAACGCGCCGGGGTTAAATCGAATTCTGGTGCCCGGTAACTTTATAGAAATTTATCGGCAAAGTCTTCGGGGAAACAGGGCCGCCACCACCCTCTACTCGAAATACGGGTATAAATCCGTTCTAAGCAATTCGATGACTCGCCCTCCCCCCCCTCCCTTCCCGATCACTGGCGAGGAGTTTCCCCTACCCACGGAACGGGGTTAACTCCGACGAAGACCGGTTTATCTCCTGGATCTTCTAGGAGAATACACCGACAACTTCCGCCCCACGGACTCAGACGTTATGTTTGCAAGCTAATTGGCCCCTACACCCCTCTCTCTGAAATTTTTGTATCGGTCCAATTTAAACGGAAATGTAGACGATCGATATACAGTAAACGTTCGATGAGTGTTTGAAGGCTGACAAGGAGAGTTCTCCAGATGTAACGCTAATTTTTTAATAAGAGTTGGCAGAGTTTCGGTCGCATCTGGTAATTAGTTTATGTAATATTTAATGTCTAGTGCCGAGGAACCTTCGAACACTCTTCGAGGATTTACTGTACAGGGTGAGTTAAGAAGAATTACTATATAATTACGCGTTATCTATTGGTTGTATTAGAAATTTTTTTAATGAAAAAATCAAACTGGATTCATCCGATGCGTCCCTTAAAATGCTACATAATTCGTTGAAACGTTTTTTGATAGACCAACAGATAACGAGGTATCATAGATAGTAATTCTTATTGACTCACACTGCATACAGTACTCCGACTTAACGTGAGCACCCTCAATGTCTCATTTGTCTTTTGCAAATACAAAAAAATGTGAACGGAAAGTATTATTCGGTTAGAAAAGGCAAATGCTATGATGTTTCTCAAGGTCAATTTTTTCGAAATTTCAAAGTCATCGATGTTTTTTTAATGGGATTCAATATTTTTTTAAAACCAATCCAATGAGCTATACTAATGTAACCTTCATTTGGCCTTGAGTACAAAAAATCCACAAATATATGAGAGTAAATTTAAATCATAAAATAACTACAATAGAGGAACTAGTGGAAAAGTGTATAAAAGTTGATAAGTATCACTTTGAGCATTTGCTAAAATTAATTTTCTGTAAATCATAAGAAAATTATTGTTCAAGTTAGGTTGGACACCCTGTACACCAACGCGGTAACGGAATTGTTTCCGTTTAACCCCTCAGATGGTGGTTTCCCGGACCATTCTGACTAAGAATTTCAGATGCTTCACACACCGTCCCTAGTTAGGTTAACTAACCTAACTGTACAGTTTCCGAAGATTAGTTCGCCGAAATTCGTCCCAAAATATACCTAAAGCCACGTGGATAGAGACCTATCTGGACCCAGAAGAATTTAGAACAGCTAATATCGCAAATATTTTAAACAAAAAAAAAGTAATAGAAAATCCAAAACAAAGTAATTACGCGAAAATAAGAGAAATGTCAAACGCTGGAAACATTAATAGAATTAAATAAGGTTAGGTTTAGTTTCTCTAATAACACTGTTCAGTAAATTTTAACATTTTTTCGACCTTATAACCTTCAATAGGCGTATCTGATAGATCTTTACGAGTTGAATACAAAACTGCAAAACATATTATGAGGTTTTTTACGTGTCGAACAGTGTAATTGCATACCGTCCAATACAGCTGCGTATCTGCCACTAACGGGAAAACTTCGTGAACCCGAAAATTCCTGACTTTTTCGAAACTTTGCAGGTTTGTAGGGGATCTCCATAGAAACATCAGGCAATTTTTCTTCTTTGTTGCTTGTTAGTCCTTTTAAGAAAACGCCACTTAAAGGTTAATATGCGTTTTCATATTTTCCTGTATATCTCGAAAATTACAGCAGATATAAAAAAATTGTTCGAACGAGAATTGCATAAATTTATGTGCTCTATGATACTGCGTAATGAAATTATAAACAATCTGTTATTTAAATAAAAAAATAAATAAATAAATTTTCAACAATGTCAATCCATATCATGGAGGACAAAAACCTGTTAAAATCTCATTCGAACAATTATTTTATATCTGCTTTATTTGTCAAGATATACAGGAAAATAGGAAAACACATATTAACCGTTTCGGGTGGTTTCACCCTAAACAGCATTATCATCAAAAAACGAACCATTGCCCCCGATGCGTTTATTGAGAGATCCCCTACAAACCTAAGGATTTATAGAAAAAAATTGGAATTTTCGGGGTATCGAAGTTCCCTTGTAAAAAGAACGTCCCCGTTACAAGCAGAGAATAAAAGAAATTCATCGTTTTAATCTCGTCTGTGGACCAAAAAGGGTGAAACACATTGGCCGAAGTGCGAATTTTTCGGTTCACGTGACATGCCCCCACACGTACTTTTTAAACGTCTTCCAACCGGATCGCATGGAGCCTCTCCCAGGGCGCACTTAAGCTGTCTCCTCAAGTAACGCTGATCGCTCAAGGCCACGTTTAGTTGTTCGTCCGAGACCCGGGATCTTCCGCTCTGTCCTTCGTCCGATTCCGCCGCAGCCATGCAGACGAGCAGAGTGCAAGCGACAAACAGCAGCTGGAACATTGTTCGAGGCAGTTAAGTACTTGCTTTTGGTAAATAGCAAGCTCTCCGCGGATTCGTGCACGCCTGTCTTTAGACGGGACCACGAACGTTGCTTTCCACGCGTCGGAACATAAAGCAATTAACTAAATTTCGGGGTCAACGAGAGTCAACGACGCTTGTCCTGTGGATCGTTGTAAATTGAAGTCACTGGATTTATCGACTACGTTTATTTCGTTGCGCACATCGAACACCCTTAAGATTACTGTTTCAAAAAAATTGGTATCACTTACAGTAAATCCTGGGTGAGTGTTCGAAGGTTACTTGGCACTGGATATTAAATATTTCATGAACTAATGGCTATATGAGACTGAAACAAATATTATTGGCTTCAGAATTCTAAGCTATATTGCTGGACTAAACCTCATTCGAGTCGGAGAGCCTTCGTACACTCATCGAGGATTTACTGTATAGGAAGTACCTTTTTTTTAAATAAAAATGTGGGTGACTTTCACAGGGTGGATTCTACATGCAAAATTAAGGTGAAAGTCAAGAATGCCAAAATTACTTTCGAGGCTTTGTTTACGACTTAGTAATTGTTGGAAATACGGGCAAAATACATTTAGCGTAAAATACGTCTGACGTTAGGGATTATTCTACTTGAACGGCGCGCACTTCAACCGTTTCACGAGCAAGTTTCGTTCATTTTAATTGCTTTATTTCATTAACGATAGAACTACCAACGTTGAATGTCCACTTAATTAAATTGTTTAATTTTAATACATCAGTACCTATAGTATATAATACAGTAAAGCGTGATGTAGCGTAATGAAAAAATATTGACTTGAATACCTAAGAAAGTACTTTAATAATTTCAATAATCATAACGTTATAAATAAATCTGAAGTCCGTCATTTTTAAGTGTTTAGTAGCTCCATTGTTAAATTTAACTAGATCATCGATCGAGCCCGTGTATTAGTCTAGGAATCGTCTGTCCAAGTACAGTAATCATGCCAGACGCACTCACCCTGTTCGTATTTCTCCCGTATTTTCAACAATTAATAACTCGAAAACAAAGCCTGAACCGGAATTTCCTAATTCCTCATTTTCCCCTTAATTTTACATGTACAACCCACTCCGTGAGTGTTCCACATTTTCCTTAACACCCTGTACATCATATCAACAAAAAAACCATCGCACCCATTCTTGAAATATTCTCCAGCTGATGTCTCCAGATTCCCCAAGATACATTTAATCGGATATTATTACAATCCCATTCGCAGAGAAACGAAAATAATAAACATGAGGCAATTCGACTGGAAGTTGTTTCCCAAAGATGAAATTAGTCGCGTGTTCGTTCGTTTTACGTATTCCGTGATGTTCCAACACCCGCGTGGTCGAAATATCCGGTGTATTTCGTCGGGAGAAAATTAGACACGAATTTAATAAAGGGATAAGTAACGGGAACAGGTAGTCGGCGTAGATGAAGCGAATTGGCGAATGTACCGCTCGTCCACCAAGTTAAGATCGAAACATACGGTCTCTAGAGCGTGGATTGTTTGTGTTTGAATGTGTGGGGGAACAGCGAAAGACAGAATGGGGATAAGGAAGGGCAGACAGCGGCTAAACGCAGCCGCGGTGAAGCACGCCAAAGCTAACATAGCTAAACAAGCAACAACCGCCCCTCCGGTGAGTAACGACGGTATGCGCGTACCCTACGACCAGGGCCGTCTAAAGCGAGTATAATAATCAAAACATCTCTGGTTACAAAAATTTTAGGCAAACAGAATTCAGTCAAATCAATTTTATACGTAATCTTTGAACATATCTCCATAAAGAGGGCAAATAAGCCTATATCCTTATTTTTTTTTAAAGCTTTTATTTAAAACTATTGCAAAATAGACGGTTAAAAAATATTTTCTTTTTTATTGAAATAATTTTTAGTTGGTACTCTTATGTCTCCACTGTTAGTACCCGCAAAGCTCATTTCGATCGGTTTGTTAGTTCGATATTTTAAAAATTTTCAAAAATTCTTCGAGATAGATTTATATATCGGTAAAGACTACAACATATCCAAATTTGGTATGGTTTTGGTTAATGGTCGCTATTGTTGGATTCCAAGAAAACACGATGTTCACTGTTCGAGTACCAGTTTATTTCTACCGTAGACTGAAGGAAAATTATGGAACATTCTTTCGTCAGCACCCCTAGAGTAGGGGTGTTAGTGGGAGCAGGACTTTGGTCGGAAAGTATGATTGTATGGCCTCCAAGGCCCAGAGTTCAGGGCCTTGGGTGTTTCAGTTTATGTCACGTACGCCCCTTTTAATGGTTTTCTTAGGGGAAACATAAAAAGCGAAAGTCGGTGCTTTCGCTGACACATTGAATTTCAGTACTCCAACACTATTCATCAACCATAACATATATGACTTATATGTAGACTGAAATATTTATTTTTTAAGGATCTTCGTTTCATTCTATCAAAATAAAAATTAAAATATGTACCTTTTACGTAATAAATGTTAAAAAAGTATGTACATATATGTATAGATGTAGAAGTAAACACTGCATATGAAATATGTAATTAAATAATATTAAATTAATTAGGGCGGCGATACTGTTTTCGCACCCAGGCGGCCAATAACTCAGTAACGGCCCTGACTACCACCTCCGTTTGTTTGCCTCTCCCTTGGTCCGGTGTTGTCGGTTCGACACGCTTCCCGTGTTTCGTTACAGTTATACGTGCACACTGCGTACCGACTAATGAGTTACCTTTTAAATTACTCCTTCCGTCGGCTACCACACTGACGGGTTTCCTTTAACGACATAAACGCGAACGATACCAGTCACACGGCAACCAGCAAAACCCAGAAATACCAAGGGCGTCAAAATGCAGAGACGGCAAATATTGGATTGTGCGAAAAGTTCTTAGCAATTCGAGAACAGCGGTTTTGTTACACTTTTAGTGGACAAAGGAAAAGTCGTTTAAGTTTAGTGAATAGATACTGTTTTTTCCAGGCGTAAATTGAATGTATTTGACTTGTAAGTTATTCGTTGTTTTTTGTTTTCTGTGAGAAATACCGACGAAACGTATAAACCACAACATCCATTTTCATTACGTTCTGACAAACTTGTACGAAAGTTAAATGTTGCCAAATTAATTAGCGTTTGTCCAATGTATCAAGAAAAACGTTAAAAACAAAATCCATCTACAAAGAGGTTGAAGAGATCTTTTTTAGCCAATACAATCAAAGTTATATATTGTAACCGGTACAATGAAGTTAATTAAAAAATGGAAAGAAATGATATAAAAATAGTAAATAAGAATATGATTTAACCTAAAAAATATAGATTGTAATTCTGTTCTTTTAAAATTTCACAAACATACGTGCAATCGATCGTCCAATGTCTGTTGGGATTTCGATTAAGAAAAGAAGAATATCTCACGAACGTGATTCGTAGAATCCGCGTAGACAAAGGAAGAAACGTAAATTGCTCGAGTTACGGTTCCAGCCGCCTCCGAACTGTCATGGCGGACGAATCTATAGCTTCGAGGGATCGCCGATATATCACACGCTCGTGCGTCGGTTTTTTATCGGGATCTTGACTTTCGTGCGACGTTCCCCTTCGATTGCTTGTTCCGTGATGAAAAAAAATATGGCATTCCGGTGCACAGGCGGCGAGCTGCGTCGCGACATGTATACAAAGAATAGTTCCAATTAAATCGAAGCCGCTTGACGAATGAACATACTTTCGCGGAAACGTCCAGAACTAGCCCTCCCTCCTCCCCCCAAACACAGTGCTGTATGCGCGCGACACAAGTCCTCGTTTTTTCGTCCCTTTGACGCTCGCCCCGTGACTGATATTTCCGAAGTTCAATTTTATTTTCGTCGCGTTGCACCTCTCGATTCCATCGACGCCGGAGGCCGCCTCTAACGATCGTGCTCGTGTTTAAATTATTCGCGTCGCGATCCAGGACACGCGGTTCCTCTGACGCCAACGCCGTTTTCATTTTTTTTTTTATTATTATTTTTCATTCGCCCATACCCTTCACCTGTCCTTCCCCCCGGGCCACGAACTCAAACGCCAAAATTGCTAGGAAAACTCGTGAATATCGAACATCGAATCGGGTAATCTGCTCTGGAACGGAGGAACAACGAAACGAAACACACCCAGAGAGAGGAATGAATGAAAACGAAGGACAGATTTATGTAACACCGCGGAAAGCAAACGTTCTAACCTACAAAAATACTCTACCGACTTTTCGCGCGACGATTCCCAGTGTTATTTCTGTCGCATGGATTTCTCGTCAGCTGCGACGTTGCGATTTTTCGATTTCGATTCCCTTCGGGGTGGATGCTAATAATTGGTGTACGGTACGGTAAATCATCGAATGGGGGGTAGGAGAGTCCTGTAGGATATACACACTGTGTTCCTGGAATGATTTGTGGATTGGATGCGGGCTCGGATACGCCGCCCGCCAAACCGCTTACTTCCGCGAATCGACGTGGATTATAAGAATTATTGGCCGTTCTGAATGGCAAACCGGCGGGTGATACAGATTTTATTGCTGGTCCCGTTTTCAACTGTGACGACTAACCATAACGCTTCGGGATGGGGGGGGGGGTTATTACGTCCGTAGGCTAGACGCTGACGGTTCCTGTCGGCCTCATGATTACATTCTGTGTATACGCGAATCCTCCGTATATAGCCCCGTTAATTATCGTCACAGTGTATGAATGGATAATTCACTGGTTAAATGGTGTGCCTCAGGAAAACTCGTGGTGCCCGGTTCGCACCCGTAATATTCCGTTATAGTTATTACCCACGCCACCGGCGCGCCACTGTCGCGCGGCTACTCGCCCCGGCGTACATACCGACGCGATAAATAATAATTTATTGTTTGCCCCGCGTGAAACAGGCTGGCTCGGCGAACGGTCGTACACACGTTGTGTCGTAGTTGTTAAATTAATTTACAATCGTCTAGTTATCGACTGGCGACCGATGGACAATGATTA